TACTTACGTACGTACGTACGTACGTAACGTACGTAACGTACACGTAACGTACGTACGTAACGTACGTAAGTAAGAAGAAGAGAGAGAGAGAGAGAGAGAGAGAGAGAGAGGTGGGGGGTTTATAATGTAGTAGCTAATCTATTGGGAGAATGTTCAATTTAATTGCTAATTTCTTATTACTTTTACATTTTTGACACTCAAAAGCAGCTCTTATATTGCTGGTATATGAACCGAGTGTGAATGGTTTTCATGTACGGCAAGTATGGCATCATGGTTTTAGGAACTAGGAAATGATGATGTTGTTTGCGGAAATTTAGTAAATGATTTATCCCTATAGTTTCTGAACTTTCTTTGACTTTCCTATTTCTCACATTGTTGCAAATTGGTTTATGAATGCTCTCAAAATTTAGAAAGTTATCGGACTGAACGTTTGTATTGAATAACCTATTGTAGGAATTGGGAGCTTATGGCGCCATGGCAAGGGGCAAAAATCAGTGTCCCCACAAAATTTATAGTAGGTAATGAAGACATTGGGTTTCAATCTTTTGGGACAAAGTATTACGTCATTGGGCCTACATTCAAGGAGTACGTACCAAATCTTGAAGTCATGATAATTGAGGGGCACCACTTTATACAGCAAGAGAAGGCCAAACAAGTGAATGATGAGATACTCTCCTTCTTTGGAAACCGTTCAGCTCTGTAACCCATCCCACAAAAAATGCACTAGCAACACCTTTCCACCAATCTCATGAGCAAGGGTTAGAGTTTCTCTTTCCTTGTTTTCCTTTTCTTCTTTGATGGCTCAAGTTGCTAAATAAGTTTCTTTTGCTTCACAACAATATGAATGAAACAGTCCTGTTTATGATGTCCTGTATATGAAGGACCTGAGTGAGCTATCAAGTATCAAAATGTCTATTGAGTCTCTTTGAAAGCATGTGAATAGTAATTATTCTCTTGATTGTATTATAAATAAGTCTTGTATGGGTGCTGGACTTCTCACAATGACATCATCATTTCTCTGTTCGTTTTGGATGGACAAGCAGTGGAATTCAAGCCCTTGACATTACATTGCACTGTCCTTGGCACCATGCCAAGAGCCCAAATCCTCATGAGTGTACGGTTTCAGCTATATTACTGAGGATTTCTCCCCGTTTATGTTCTTTATAGTCCCCATCTGCCAGAATGTTTTCTCTTCCAGGGGATAATCATGTCTTTAAGAGTGAGAGAGCTTCTCAGTCCCTCTCCACTCCAATTAACCTATGCATTCCTGCAGAGTGTCATACCCTGTCAGCAATCCCTTCCACAGTTCCATACCCTACATCAGAATGCCAAAACCTTAAATCCCTTCCGAATCTCCCTAACCATACCCAAAAACAAAATATTGCAAATCTCCATATCCATACCTTGACCTACAAGAACATTTGCCAAAACCTCCGAACTTAACCAAAAAATTGAGGTCTCTCCAAAAAGCAACCACCAGAATCCAAACTTTCGTCACCCACAAACCCTAAATCCCCTGTGAATCTCCCTAACCATACCTAGTAAGCTCAGAAACACATCCATACCCCATCCAGGCTCCCTGGGCTCTTCCCTCACAGATAAACCAAATCTCGAATGAAGCATATCCATCAATTTCAGTTCATGAGGAGCACTATGCCAAAAGGACTGCTCTACTTAGTTCCTCCTGTGTTTGAACCTTCTCCCCTCCTTGAGGCAATCTCAGTGGCATCATAATGTGGGCAAGGAAACTATGGAGTTTGCCTCTCTTCCTCTTCTCTTCCCCAATTATAGCGAAGCTCAGCAAGCTCACCACACCATAAATATGTAATTTTACAAGAGCGTGTCTCAAATTGAGTCCATGGATTTTTAGGGGCCGAAAACACAAAAGAGAGTATGGTTGAAAGCTTGGATTGATGAGATCTCCTATAAACCTGGTCCTTTCAGCAATGGGTGAAGTTTGATTGTGTTAGCTGACGAACTTGTTTATGTGCATTCCCCCTCCAACATCCATCTTAGACATGGATTTTGGATCCAAAATTTCTGGAGTCATCGGTCTTGATCACGGTGATCATGAATCTAAAATAATAAATAAATTTTTAAATTTAAAAATGGATTTTTTGAAATTCTTTTTTGCACCATTCACGTTATTCTTTTATAAATCATCAAATCTGTACCATTTTTGGAGCTGCGAAAATATGGATCACTATCCCTGCTTAGGCTGCCTTCTTGAGCAGGCTGCCTTCGAGTTATTTGGGCTACAAACTGTCTTCTCCAGAGTCTTTCATAATCTTGGTTTGTTTTTATTGTCAATTTTGTTCTCTTGTCCCTCCTATGGCTTCAAATTGTGGTTTTCGACCATGTGTGACCCCCAGTCTCAGGGAAGATTCTTGGGCTGAACTACACCACGTCCAGTTGAGTACTCCCTGCCATGCTGCATTGGGGGAGATTTCAGCATAAAAATAAAAGCGGGGAGAATAATCTCCAGTATGGTTGGCTGTAGCAACTTCATCAACAGTCTTAGGTGGTTTTTTTATCAACCCAAGTTCAAAAGAACAAAAGAGAAGGCTTAACCGTGGTGAGAGCAAAGAGAGGCTATGAAGGTCAAAATGACCAAAGTCAATGTTAAAGAGGGAGAATGCTTCAAATTTTTTTAAATCAGAGGCTGATTAGACCCAGTTATAGCCCTTGGGGAGCATGCGTGTGGGCTCAGAACATGTCAATTTAAAAACACTAAGCTCTAGAATCAACTTGGATATGGTCAATACGATCAAGGAAAGTTTTGGCTAGAACAAATCGATCACTTCCAACTGGATTTGGAGCAAAACTACAAGGCTATAACAGTGATGAAAGTGCGTAGGCCGGCCCCTATTTATTGATGAAAACAATTTGGTTACAGTGCACATACACTCTGGAAATGATGTATATATGATCATTAAAGTCCACGCATTTAACAGGATTAAAATGAAAAAGAAATATTGCTGATTTTGGAGTCCCAAAAGGTTTCTTGCCCAAACATGGGGAAACCATTTGTAATGTTCGGATATTTGTTATGTAGAGTTGTGCCATTCATAGCATCTCTTGGTAGAAAAGATTGCAGCACTCATGAAAATTATTGTGTAAATTATACAACTCTTGTAATTATTGGTTATTCATATTTTTATTTTCGTTAATATTTATAGTAATATAATTATCATTAGGATATCAATTTAATTAGATCAGAATTATTTTATTAATGCTAAAAGATATGCTGCTGCTGCTAGAGCATACTGTCGATTTGTTCCCTCGGGTAAATCTCAAGCTAGGCTTGGGGATATAACGCCTTAATCCTATCGATCAAACTCAAAAAATCGCATGTTTTATGTGCTTGAAAAAATAACATCCCAAGAATGAACATGGAACATCAAATTTTCAAATGGCAAGATCTATGTGTTGAAGAACTCAAACTCCACTTCTTCTTTTTTTGGAGAATAATCATGTAGTTATTTTTAGTTGGATCTCAAAAACTCAGAACGAAAAAAAAATAAACAAAAAAACAAAAAATTTTGAAATATCTCTTTTACCCAAGGGAGCTAATATAGAGTGTGGTATATAGTTAATAAATCCACCATGCAATACGTTCTAGTGTTAACCCTTGCAATTCAATGGTTGTGAAATGTTATATATATATAGAGCGTGCGGTTTGTATAGAGCCTAAGTTCTAAACAATCAAATTAGAGCCTACCTTCAAATAGTGTCGAGAATGTGGTTTCAATATTAGAGAGTTTTGTGATAGCTTTAAAATATATTTTTATTTTTATTTATAAATTTTTAATCTTCAAAAATAATATAGATCAAGCAAATCTTTGAAAACTTCAAAATCTTGAAAATTGAAGGTCCAAAAAAGCATTATAAAATGCACTATTTCCAAAAT